AATAATGAAATTCAAATTAAGTACATGATGAATAGAAAACAGAAAAGTGAGTTCTAGTACTGTGTGTAAAGAAAAACTGTTTAATAACAGTTTTGAGAATTTAAAGTAACTTCAAAACCAAGTTCTGCTCATGTATTTGGAAGGTATTCTTATACAGTGGTGACAAGAAATTAATGTCTCCTCGCCTTCTATTGTAACACTACATTTATATAATCTATTTTCTCTAAAGTGGAGTTTTTGGTCTTCTTAAACAGGGAAAAGTTTGTAAAGCCTTTAATCAGTAAATTATACTGAGTTCCAACAGAAGGTGGAACCATGGAAATCTGTAAGAATAGCTGCTCAATAGGACCAATATGTTGGCAAAAAAGAGAGAGAGAGAGATAAAGGAGGAAGGAGGGAGGAAAAAGGGAAGGGAGAGAGACCACACAGACTTCCCGAGCTCAGCGTCTCTGTTCTCAATGTCCTTTGCATATCTAGCAAAGATAACGGTAACTAGAGGATTACCGTGCACATTCTTAAACTCATAAAGTACATGTTCATCCAGACTTTTTCAACTCTGCTTCATCCTCTATGGACAACCATCCTACTTAACCTCTACGGTTACTTTCACAGTACATGAAAGTAACATACCTTTAAAATAGGACAGGGAGTAAATGACTTTGAAAAGAACTCGAGCAAATTACCAAGATTGAAAAAAATACAAAAACAAAATAACTAAGGAGGCAAATTTCCAGGAAGCATATCATTTCTATTTCCTTCTAGCCCACCACTTTCCACCTATTTATAACTCAAGGAAAGACCAAAAAAGAACACAAGGTTAAGAACATAAGATTTACAGTGAAAGCAGAGATGGTCAGAATCTTGCCTTCATTATTTACTGTACTTGTTCTTTGATCTTAGTTATATTCTCAAAGCCTTAGTTTCATAAATAAAAGAGAAACAATACCTTTCTCTTAGCGTTATTATAGGAATGAAATTGTATGAGAGAATGTATAAAGTAGGCACGATGCCTGGCACATGGTAAACTACATAAAAGAGCTGCCAAACTGATAAATAAACAAGTACATAGATATATGTAACGCATAAAGACCTAAAAATTAACAAGATGATAATTTCCACTAATCTGACAGTAAAGTTATTCACAAAATGTTCAAAGTGTTTTGCAAAGTTTTGTTTAATAAAAGCATGAGAAAAAACCAACAACAATAAAAGAGAGAATACATAGAATACATGTGCATACACATACACAGAATACATAGGATGTGATAACTTATTCCATGATCTAGTAACCCATAAAAACGTTAAAAATTCTTCATTTCAACTCAGTCTCTGCATAATTTAACATCAACTATTTTTGTAGCCTCAACTCACACTTATCCTTCCATGTAGTCAACACTTTAATTGTAATACATATTTTCACAGTTCAAACTTAGGTCAAAAACATTCCTTCAATCCAGTTAGCATTCTCACCTCATTCCCTTTCTTACCTATCGAAACTCCATTCATCTTCTGTCCTGTGGTGCCTTTTCAAGAGCTAACTAACAGATACCATCACACCCCTCTCTAGGTTCCCAACGTCTACTGCTTAAACTGAATTTTAGAGAGCCTTTCATTATTTAATTTGGTTTTCCCCAGTCTTCCTCACTAGATTTTTAAGATCATTATCATTTAAGTGGACATATCTGACAGTGGTCACCTAGATGCACAGAATATAAAAATATGATAAAGTAGCACTTCTTTACATATAGCAATACCCTTTTTTAAAGGTAAAAAAATGTTCACCTTCTTTCCGTGTTTTGTTTTAACTATGGCATCACTAGCATTCCCATTGCAGTATAATGCTAGTAACACAGATGTGCCAGTTTTTTAAGCTTGTATTTTCTGAATATCTAAAAATACCTATTATAACAATACTAACAATTCATGAAAGAACATTTTATGACTTATTTACCCAGTGACACAACAGCCCACCCCAAATTCCATTAAGTAAACAGATTATTCCATCTCTTTTTGGTATTCATTAAAAGAAAAGACTTCAGAATAAATCTGTGGCTTATATAAACATGCTGGTTCCAAAACAAGATTTGATTAAATAATAAACCTTATTTTACAAGTCATATATGAAAATTACTCTCATTATTTCATGTTACATATACTATATACATACATACTTCATTAAGTTCTATAAATGTCAAATCTTATTTCCTATATATGCAAATATGGTTGGAAAGTCAATTTGCAATGAAGACTTTGATCCAAAACACCACCTACTATTCAGATAATACCTGGGTAGATGTGGTTCCAAATGAGTGTGCAAACAGCTTCTGATTACAGCCATGTAAATTAGAAAGTCATAGTTCTAGTTCATTCAGGTTGTAATTCTAGTTCTGCTACTAACCAGCATGCAGCCCAAGGCACAACATCTCACATTTCTAAGCCTTAGCTGGGTATCACATACATAAAATTATCCTGGATTAGATCAGTACTTCCCATGTACTCTGGATCATAAAAATCACATATTAACAAAATGTCCCACCTCTCCTCTAAAGAATTTAATTTAGCAGCTCTCATAAAAGAGCCACAGAGGGCTGGGGGTTTAGCTCAGTGGTGCTGGCACCTGCCTCGCAAGTGCAAGGTTCCGAGTTTGATCCCCAGTACTAAAAAAAAAAAAAAGAGCCACAGAATTGTATTAAAAGATTTTCAGGTAACTTTAAGAAAGTTTTATTATATGCACTGATTTCTGATTTCGAAGGATTCTTCTGGCTATAAAATTTTGTAATTTGAAATTTTATGACTGATCAAACTCTCCATCCTAACTTGGTGACGTGGATGTAGTTTCCGTGAAACTTTATTCTGCTATGAAAGAAAGGTCAAAACCTCAATACACTTAAGCTATCTTCTTTAGCATTTAGTTCCATTTGCTCCAACTCTCTCCATTTTCATATCATCCTGGATACCAGTAAATAATTTGATAGATGACATAAATTTGGCTGCATTATACTTTCGCTTGAACAATGTTCATCTACAATTGCAATGTACACAATTCTTCCTTTGATCAGTCATATAAAAAAAAGAATTAGTACTAATGTCATATTTGTAAAAAATCAGGATGATATATTTACTACCATCACACATTTTTTTTTTCCTAAAAGGCTGTGAGGCAACATAAAAAATAAAACGTCAAAATTATTAGGATAATTCAGAGGTAAAAAGTGGTAGGAGAAGAAGAGGATCTATATAATTAGTGCAATTAAAAACATTTTTTCATGATAGTTCCCAAAAAGAAAGACAAAGAAGCAAAACAATAACTAAGTTGCAGGTCTGTAACTGTGACACTGCAAAGGGTCAAGATGAGTAGTTAAAAATTAAATTGTCAAGTTCTTAAAAACCACAAATAGAACTCAAAACCAAAAAAATAGGGGAAATTTGTATTGTTTAAATTATATTCTTTAATTTAAACACACTGAAAGTTATCAGCAATGAATGCAATTAGCAGTCTATAACCCCATTATTTTAAAATTAATTCTGCAAGTTATCTTCATATTCTATCTTCAACACATACATTGCACTAGAAAAAAATGTGGAATGGTGTTAAGTTTGTTTCATTCTTATTAAAGAGGATCTAAAATAGATAACCTACTTTACGGACAACTAGGTCATCTAATACATATCTATCAGTATCTGAAAGAGCAACTACCAAGCACAGATCCACAAACTCATCGATGTGTTTTGTAACTATCCACTTGTCCTGGAAACAATGGAAGTGCAAGTAATTGGTGGGAGTATCCAATGAGTAGAGTGATTCTGGAAGAGCAAATGTGACATATTGGTAGGACACTTAAGCTGAATTCTGCTTGCCCTGCTGCTGGCAAACTATTCACATATATAATATGTATAGAAAGTACATGTACAAAAGTCAGAAGGTAATCATAGGCAAATTCAGAGGCATCAATGAAAGCTGAAACTTCTTGGATCTGACAAGACATTAATAGTCTCAGTTATCCTTAGTAATTCTACTGCAAATCTATAAACCAAATGCTATTAACTATATTATTCTTAAGATATTATTCTCCATTCCAGGACTGTAAAAGAAGGAAAATAGGCAGAAAGCAAATGAGGTCATGACCTCATTTAGTAGTAGATTTGATAAATTAATTTTTGTTCATCCTTCTTAAATTTCATAATACAATCTTCTACATATGCCCCTCTCCTTCTTCCCAAGCAGGACTACTACTCTCACATAAGACTGTGATTTAATCAAATGTGCAAAGCCATTTTTCTAATAGTGTTCTTGATATCAGCATTTTTTAGAACTAAGGTAAAGCAGTAAAATAGAGTAAAGCCGCATAAAATAAACTTAAACATTTGGATTTATATTTCCAAAGACTATTCATGAGAGATATTCACTGCTTGCTTGTCCCAGCCCAGTTTAGCCATTTCTGTGTGTATTTTCTTTAATTTTTTTTTTTTTTTTTTTTGGTACCAGGGATTGAACTCAGGACCTTGCACTTGCGAGGCAGGCGGCAGAACCACTGAGCTAAATCCCTGGCCCTGTATTTTCTTTAAAAAGCCAATGCTTATTAAATAAACTAAAATATCTGATATGCTGAAGTTTACCATAAGGTTATTCAAACATATAATGAACACTTACATATATCAACTCTTTACTAGTGAAAAAAAATCAAAAATGCATTTGCTACCTCTTCTAGTTAGGCTCTATGATGGAAAAATGTTTTAAAATTAAATAAAAATTATGTTAAAGTCGTCGGAAATGATGCAATTGTTTCTTTCCAGATATTAGATGGCACCAACATTCCAAAATAGTATGTTAAAATCTTCCTTCATTTACATATAAGTTTTACAAGAAAAAGATGGTTTTTAAACTCTAGACAAGAGATCACAGTTAAATTTCAAAACACATTTTCTTCTGTTTTATAGTATAATTCACACTCAATAGTGTGCACTTCAAGCTTAAACTAATCGTGGGTATGTAGACTCACCATCTGGATGGGTTTCTTGTGGAGATCTCGCTCAGTTACCAATCTCTCCTGGTCAGTGACATAAAGACCTTTCTGTGCTAAAGCCTGGATGACAGCATCATGGCCCAAAAGGGGTTTGGCGGCATCGCTTTTGAGAATGAGGCTCCCAGCTCGACAGTACAGTTCTGCCGATAGAAGCAGATTAACGACGGGAGGTTTGATGTGTTCCTGGTCATACTGATCAGTGTAAAATGGTTCTCGAAGTTCCTCTGGCACATTTTCTAGAAAGAGAGTAAATAATTCTATTATGAGATTTTTATAAAAGAAACACAATTATTTAGTAATTATTATTCATATCACAAAACTTAAAGATTCACCCTAAAAATAGCAGTATCCCTTTAATTGCAAAGAGTTTTGGACCTTGGCATATAATCTAGAATGAAAGAAGAAAGATCCAAGTTTCCTCTAAAGATACTGTTTGTAGTATATTCTAAAAAGGAACTACAGAGCAAACCAAGTAGAAAAGTTTTGAGTTTAGGGGCTCTTCAGAATTATTTCCACATGCAGAGTCCAAAGTACCAAACGAACTATAAGAATCCTAAAAAACAAATTTCAGTGAATAACCACATATGCAAACAGACAACCAGGACATGCACTAGCAGATATTTCAGGATACTGTTAGGTCTTGCCACCTGAGAGGATAAAATCTTTGCCCAAAGTTTTACAGCTACCAAGTCACAGAACAGACTGCCTAACTTGTTTTGTTTCTCTGTCTCAAGGCAAATTATTGACAAGGAGTTAGGAAAGAGCCATTGTCTAAAATCTGGTATTCAATACTGAAGAATGTAAAAATCAGAGTTAGACGAAAGATTATCTTATAAAGATAAGGAAATGAAGTTTGAAGGCAGTAGTGAAAACAGGAAGTGAAGGACACATGAGACTCCTAACAACAAACAAATAGCCAGGAATAAGACAGAGAAAGAGGTCAATATATAGAAAGCAAGCATGATCAAGCCTGGTTTATGAGGAAAACGGTGATAACATTAATAGGGGAAATAAGAGGCAGCGTCATTCTGAAAGCAAGATCATAAGCTCTGTTTTAGACATGTTGAGTTTGAAATGATAGCAAAAATTTCCAAGTGGAAGTATCCAATAAGTAACAAGAGTTACAGGACTCAGGAAAAAGATCAGAGTGAATATACAGATTTGTGGTTTTGGAGACATCTAAAAATATCATCCTTGTTTAATAATTAAAAACAGCTTTCTTCCTTCATAGCTGTGTTACCTAGTAGCAACTTAAACTCAATATAGTTGCCTCAGCAGTGCAAACTGCAGAATATAGTGCTAGTATTCATTTAAATTTTAATACGTAGAAGTTATTTAGTAGACCAACCATAAAAGAAATTATTTTAAGATAATTACTATAAAATGAATAAAAATGAATTTATTTCATTTATCAATAAAATGACTAATATAGGTGACTTAACTAAACACTAGTTGTGCAATGAAAAGTGAGTGCATATTGAAGTGTTACAAATCTGTCTATCATACCTATTCACCCATCTAATATTACTTTTACATACATTTTCACACATGATCTTTATACATCTTGGTGAAATGGGCAAGTCAGATAATACACAGATAAATAACAGGAACATACCCTTATACTTACAAAGAACTTTCTATATGTCAACCACTGTCCTAAATGTTAATGCTGTCATTTAATACTAACAGCCCTTTCCCTCCTCACTGAACAACTCAAGAAAAGCTGTCTTATGCAAGGAACACAGCTAGTAAATCTAGAGTTCTAATTGTAGACTATCTAGCTAAAGAGTCTCAAAAATAATGGTGTGCTAAGATCACAGGGCAGGGGGTAGATGGAAGATGTAGAGCTCGGGGCTGTTTTCATTTTATTAAGACATACTACAGGAGCCAGGGATTTAGCTCAGTGGTTCTGCCACCTGCCTCACAAGCCAAGGACCCGAGTTCGATCCCTGGTACCAAAAAAAAAGACATACTACAAATTCACAATGTAAAACCTGAAGTTTTAAAAAGGCCCCAATGCAAGGAAAACAGAAAGGGTACACAACAAATCAAAGAATGTTGCAAGAATATGACAAAAATAGATTTTTCAACCCCTCAAAGAATGCAAAATTCCATGTTAAATATTATAAAACAGGTCACTTTAAAAACAAGTCTAGCTGGGGATTTAGCTTAGTGGTTCTACTACCTGCCTCAAAAGTACAAGGACCTGAGTTCAATCCCTGGTACAAAAAAAAAAATTCTAAACAGAAGACCTTCAAAATGCCTCATTGTTAAAACAATGTGAAACTGTACCATTTTTTTAAAGAAAAGAATTGAAACAGTATACCAAAAAATAAGCAAAAGGAATAGTAAGGTTTCACTCTCTTCCTAACCTCCTGTACAAAAGGTAAGAAATTAATAATTATGGAGTAGCTGAGTGAACTATGTCACTGCTAGAATTACAAAGGATAAGAGACAAGCTTTTCTGGTGTATCAGGACTTAAGCATAACCTACCTTAATCATGTTATAAACCCTGACTAAATTTAACTTTTGAAATTAACATTCACCTGAAACACTTGAAGTACAGATAGAGGGAGTAAATGGTATTGCTCAATGCAAGTTTCTATATAGCTGGGTTAGCTACCAGTTGCATCCATAGGCTAGCAAATGGTAAGGATTTCTTTAAAACAATGCAGGGGGAGAAGGTGGTAGGGAAATGCACTTCAGAAATAGCCCACTAAATTGTGAGAACATTGCCTTATTTTTCAAATCTAAAAAATTGTTTCTAAAGCTAACATAGAACTCTTAAACTTCAAAAAACTGCAACTGAAAGTATACCACAAACTCTGAACTTGAAATTAACTGAAAGTCATAGAATGGTCAATAACATGAAAAGAAACTCAGTACCAGTAATCAAAGTTACATTTTTTTTTGTCTATCAGAATAGCAAAAAGAAAAAACAAACGAACCTGAACATACTGTTCACAAGGATGTACTAAAATGAGTAATACCCTTTTACATGACCAAAGGGCAAGGACCATATCTATCTTATTATGATACAGATCCCTGCAACAAAATCAGTGCCTGGTACATGTTAAGCACTCAATACATTTTTATAAGTGAATAAAAAATGTTATCTATAATTCATGGAATAAAACATAAATCATGAGAACACCCTGATATAAATAAATAGATAGAAGCTCTTCCTAGTAGAACACCAACTAATAAATGGAGGTGAGGAGTGATAGCAAGCTTCAGTAGAATTATTACTGCACACTAAAATGGCAGTAAAAGTTCAATAAATAGGATGAACAGAATACTCTGAGTTATATCCCCACAAATTACTTAATTAAAAATAAAAAGTCATTTTACAATGGAAAAATGGCAGACACCACTTTAACTAGGTGATCGAAGTATTTACTAATACTGGAACAAGCATGTGCCTCTTGGTATGATTTACTGACAGCACATTTTTTTCTGTGGTAGTCTTGTGTAACTTGAATCTAATCATCAAGAAATATTAGACACACCCAAGTTAAGAAACTCTATAAAATAACTAGCTTTCTTCCCCCTAAGATAAAAGTGGTGCTGTGTGCAGAGGGGCAACAGGCACATGTGCTGATGAAGTGGGAGATGGCCGTGGAGGTGGTGGGATAAGGAGTCCTAAGAAAGGTACAGTAGTGAGCCAACCAATGGGGGGCAGGGAGGAGCAAAAGAAAGAGAGGGAAGAAGGAAAGCGGCAAAGAAAGAAGAAAGTCAAAGATGAGGTGGTACCAGAAGGCAGGAGTAGCAGGGGTTGGGGATGTGGACTCCAGTTTCTAGGTCTCCATCAGCTCTTCTCTGGGGGCAGGTTTCTGTGCACTTTGATTTTCCTCATATTTGGACACCGCCAGCACCCATGCTAAGATCTCAACAGCATCCAAGTCATTCAAACTAAAGTGGAGACATCTGCTAAGTAAGTGCCCAATACTCCAAAGCACTGTACAGGGACACACAGGAGGTGGCCCAATCAGCTCCCGAGGAACACAGGACTGAGCAGGTTTGGCAAAAGTGAAGATAAAGCCCAGGGAAGGTGCCTGATGCTCAACTTAGCATGTAGCTGAGGGTACTTTATCTTGAAAGGTATTCATGTCATAAAAGAAAAGACAGGCTGAGAAATTATTCCAGGTTAAAGGAGACTAGAGAGAAAACTGAATTTAACGCATGATCTTAGACTGGATCCTGGAATAGGAAATAAAATAGCAATAATAGAGATTAGAACAAGTGGCAAAGCTGAATATGGGCTATTAGATAACAAATCATAGTTAGATGTTCTGATTTTTAATGGCAATTATGTAAGAGAATTATCTTTCATTTTAGGAGAATCATTTAGGGGTAAGGGAGTACAATGTCCCTAATGCATTCTCAAATAGTTCAAAAAAATCATCCGTATTTGTATACATTTATATGTATGTAAATATATATATGTGCGTGTAAAATGTATACATGTTTGTGTGAGAGGGAAGGAAAGAGAGAGAATAAGACAAATGGGACAAAATGTTAACAGCTGATAAATCGGGGTAAAAGATATTCCAGAGTTCTTTGTACAATTCTTGCGTGTTTGAAATTATGTTGAAAACAGTTTTTAAAAACTTCAAAATGCCTAAAATCAGTCTTTTCCCCAGACTTGATCATCTGCCAGAGCTCCCTATTCATTTAGCTGCACAAGCCAGACACCTCGGTATCACCATTAATGTGTCCCTCACCCTGATACACACACACACACACACACACACACACAAACCCCAAAGCAGAATCCAGCTCACAGCCATGCCTGCCCTCATAATCTCAACTCATATCTCCCTGACCCAGACAATCAGTACTTTTCATCTCAATTACTGCATTTACTCCTAATTTTGTCTTCCCACACTCATTCTTGTTCCTACTCCAAATTATTTTCTGTTGTAGTAAAAATGTGCTTATTTCCCATAAGCAAATTTGATCATGTCACACACCTCACCAACAAGCCCACCCCCAGTCTCAACAGTTTTCAGTGACTTCTTGCTTCTCTCAGAATTAAAATCCTTCCTCTGCCAGTTATATTCAGTTCTTAGAAGCCATGTTCTCTTTTGCTACAGAGCCTTTACATATTCATGTCTGGAAAGGTCTCCTTCCTACTCTTTACACCCTTTCCGAATCTCAGACAGAGGTCAGCAATCCAGTCAGTGTGGTCCAATTTCCTCTCAATAAAAGGAAAGAACATATCCTGCCTTCCTT